TGGTCCATAAATCTCAGTTCACACTTCATTAGTTTATTGGTTCCATAAATCTCAGTTCACACTTCATTAGTTTATTGGTTCCATAAATCTCAGTTCACACTTCATTAGTTTATTGGTTCCATAAATCTCAATTCACACTTCATTAGTTTATTGGTTCCATGAATCTCAGTTCACACTTCATTAGTCTATTGGGTCCACTAGCCTCAGTTCCCACTTCATTAATTTATTGGTTTCACGAGAATCACTTCACACTTAATTAATTCATAAGGATAGAATTTATCAACCAGTGAAGGGACAACGGGGGATTCCGATATTCAACAGACGCAGTGTTCGATCAGTTCTTTAAAGCATCTGAAAATACAAGCATTTATTAAAAGCTAATATTGTGGTCAACAATTGACCAAATTGTTGACCGTCCATTTTTATTGCCTCTACAGTTTATAGCAATTAGAAACATTTATTTGTATTTTGAGATTTTATTACGCTGTAGCTGTTCTTACTAATATTTTATCATCCTGACTAGTTACGATTTTGAATTTTTTGCGGGTTTCAGTTTTTGTTTTTAACATTCCAAGTAGTTGTGTCACACTTAAAAAACATAATTGGATTTTTTTTTAAATTTATGGGATTTATGAATGGCATATTTCGATAGTCCTAACAAAATTCAATATCTCTTAACAAGTGAAATGAGAACTAAGACGTAACGACATTCGATAGGCCTCTGTATAACTTAGTTCGATTAAGCAAGTAGTCTCTAATCCAAATCTTAACCGATCTCAGTTTTCACTTCTTTAATTGTATGTGTTAACTTTAAAATCCTAAGCGGTTTAAAGAACAGATTCAAAATTGTTAGGTTAAATACATGGAAACTATCGTGAAATGAAAGTGTTAAATGAAGACTATTTTAACAGAGAGTTGTCCATAAAAGTCCACAAATGAAGCTGTGTCTGTCTCAGTAGGATGGGGCGGATGTGGCCAAGTCATTAGCATACTGGTCTGTGAATCCGAGGATCCACGGTTTGCGTCTCGTTGCTGCAAAATCTAGCTTCGTACACTCGGGTCGTGAATGCGTTATAAGAGTGACCGTCTATTACCATTATTCGTCTAGAGTAGCGTAAGAATTGGCGATGGGTGCTGTTGACTTGCTGCTTTTTCTCTAGTCTACCAGTTCAAAGTTAGGGACGGATAACACACATAACTCTTGGATAAAGAAACTTTACCAGACTATCCGAAACTAAGCGGACTCAATGGAACACCATCAGACTGTGTGACAATATTCTGCACAAAGATAAGTTTTGGTTGATACTAACCCAGGTCACTTCTTGATCTTTGCAGTCACTTCGCAACCGAAACGTTGATGATAAGACACTAAAAAAGGGGAATATGCGAAATACTTTACTGGGTTGAATGTAACTGATCTGGTTGAATGATCTGGTGCAAAACGTACAACAAAAGTTGCGAAAAGAAGATAGCCCATAAAAGAAACAGAGACAACTTTGTAACATCATAAAAAAAACAAGTTTTCAATATTCTCAAACAATGCCCTTTTCACAATATTAACTACATGCTTTTAAAAAAAATCAGAAATTTCGAGTCAAAATAATGTGGTATTCAGATAATTTAAATAGATAAAAAAAGTCAATTATTAGCTGTTTTAGGGTTAACTTTTTAGCTCAGAGGGTAAAACAAAAAATTCCCGGTTCTATCCCGAGAGAGGTAAAGGCTAGAATACCATAGAAATATTGACGCCCAGCTAATGACCATCCTAATAATGGCTGGAGACGGCTTGAATGGGTAATGAAGAAAAACTTTAATATAACA